CCGATTGTTTACTTTATATTTTTCTCTTTTCCAGGAATGTATTCGGCTATATCAATTTTAAACGTAAGATTAAATATTTTATTCATTACTAAAACAAGTAATTGATAATTAGAATACTTCCATTATATTGTAATTGAAGGCTAATTGATTGTTTCAAAAAGGAAATATAATAATATAATTACTACACCGAAAAATTGTTTTCGATTTTTGACATATCACGAAAGTTCAATAAAGTTGTGATTAAAACATTTTACGAGGGTTATTCAATACGTTCTGAAAATGACACCATAACGTATTTTTCTTTCATTTTAAAAAACAATGAAACACCTGTTAGAGTGACAAACTATTATTAAGCTTCCTATTGACGTAGACCACGTTCCCATGTGACGTATGACGTCACATATATATGACGTCAGTTAACGTCGCTCAAGTGTCATGGCCGCGGTAAGCGTAGAGGAACAGCGTGTTTATTATAAAGATAGTTTTTTAGGGGAAATCATGAACATTTATATGAAGCTTGCGATGAATCTGCTGTTTCATTTAATACAGTTTATAGATGGTAATGCAATATGGCAGATGGAACATTTGATTTTCTTTCGATGATCCCGTAGCGGACGGCCACAGTTTAGGTTAAAGACAAGTTTCTATATCGAAAAAAAGTTAACGGCCAATTGAATGAAGATCGGCGATAAACGTGCAAGGAGTTTAGCTGAAAGTCTTGGTATTTCTATTGGGACAATTCATACAATTCTTACACGCCATTTGCGTATGCGCCGAGATTTTTGCCAAGAAAGGTGCCACATCACCTTTCGCGGGACCAAATGACGGACCGGTTATTGATTGCAGATAATCAATAAAAGGTATGAAAATGAAGGTGAACAGTACTTAAACCGCATTTTAGGCAATTGCTTAGATATGGCTTCATAGCTATGACCCGAATTAAAGTCACAGTCCTCAGAATGGCACACTCTAAGGTCGCCAAGGCCTGCAAAATTTCGACGAAAACAAGGGAACCTGAACAAAATCGCAATTATAGCCTATGATAATGGCGGTGTATTGGTGTCGGACTATGTTTCTCTTAGACATACCAGTTAACGGAAAGTATTATAAACATATTTAAAATTGAGCACCAGCTGTCAGGAAAAAACGACCAGCGCTCTTAAAGTCAGGGGTTCGGTCTATTCATGACAACGCATCTCCGCATAAATCACACCCAGTGGCGTTGAAAATCAAGGAATATAACTTGCAAGTGTTGTCCCATCCACCTTATTCGCCCGGATATGAGTCCTAAACTCAAAATGCCCCTCATGGGTGTAAGAAGTAATGACTAAAAGGCGCTTATGTTGTGGCCACGGAACGTGAATGCATCACACGCGGTTGTCTTGCAAAGGGAATCGCCGATCTTCTGAACAGATGGAAAGCGATTGTTAGAAACAGGGGTAGTTATTTTGAAGGAATATAGGTACGGTAGGTGTGTATCACTTATAGTTTTCTTACAATATGCCTTTTATCAGAACTTATTGAATGCCCCTCGTATCTTCCGGCAATACAAGAATGTACTTACATTACATTTAATACTTTCGGCTTTTGAAATATTTTGATACTTGTTATTTGTGTTTTCAATACATAAATACATACTTGTATTGTGTTGTTAACTTTTTTTCAAGGTTCCCAGTAGTTTACGTCCGTCGAATTATAGAGACATTGTTTTATGGGTCTGGTGCATTGGTCTTCTCAAACAGTTCGAGAGTTCACTATAAACGACAGGAGCTTGATGTATTTATACAGACAGATAAAGTTCGTTATGCGGCAGGTCAGACAGGTAAGTATTGAACATATCTAGATTTGGCATGTACTGACGTCAATCGATACTGCACACTCCATGTTTATAACACTATCTTTCATTTATAAAAATGCATGCTAAAACAGAACATATCTATTAAATATAAAGACAATATGTCTCTCGAGATGTGCGTTTGGTGACAATAAGACATGAAAATAATTTTGTACATAATTTCAGTGAGATATCGCGGCAGTATTTCTTCTTCCTAATCTTATGGGCTTCCAGGGAGAAGCAGCCGTCATTATTCAGGTAAAATATAATATTTGGTTATAAATTTAGATGAAATGGCGAAAATATTATTCAAAGTGATATAGATCTATATAAATATATTTGGCGTATCATTTCAGTAATATAATAAACTGTGTGTTTTTTTCTTAATGATAAATCTAAATATTTTAAAAAATTAATAATGTCAAAATATTTTTATGCTATAGATTGCACAATACTAGTGAATAAAACAAATAGTAATCAACATAAATGACAAGGTCATTATATGCACCATTATAGACAAAAACTTTTTGAAAAAAAGATTGCTCCGGATATATGTTTAGTAAATTAAATAATTATATACAATTTAATAATTAGTAATGAAAGTCATTGAAAACCCCAAATCAGCTTAAAATATAAAGATTGACTGTATCATAAAGGATGGACAGGAAAATAAGATCGAGACAAGAGGACCACATTTGGTTAAAAATGGGGTTATATCTGGTGAAATAGAGCTCAGCAAATACCCGTGTTTGGAAACTGGACAATAGGCATTGATGTTATGGTAAGTTGTAGATACATATCTATAACTGTGATATATAACCAGTTACTATTTACATACATTTTTAACTTATTTACGTGACAATTATTACAAATATACGAGTAATCACTATAAATCATTCAAGAATTGTACTATGAAACAAAGAAGAACATGTATCTATATAACGTTTCAAGGTTATTGCTTTGTATGTATAAAATGACCAAAACTAAATTCCAAAGAAACTGTTTAAGCATTGCAACGAATGTTTAAATACACTCAATTACTTTAAAATGATTTGTATTGTAGGGGAGAACGCATTCCAAATATTTCGAAGTCAATGAATATGGTAATGTGCTACTTTGCATTCGAGAGAGAGAGAGACGAGAGAGAGAGAGAGAGGGAGAGAGAGAGAGAGAGAGAGAGAGAGACGGAGAGATAAAGGGAGAGAGAGAGAGAGAGATTTAGTTAGATCGTCGCATTATTTGATATATTTCCCTAAAAAAGTGTTTCAAAGAAGCATCAGAGAATGTGATAAGTTTATGAAAATTGAAGAATTTATTTAAACTTAAAAGGGCAAATATCAACTAAAAACATAGCTATCTAAGCGCACCAACTATGTCGGCGTATCAAAAGTTTACAAAAAATATAACAAATCAAAATCAAATATCACAAAAATATTTGACATATATATATAAACTATATATCAATATTTATCCTATTCTGACCATGAAATAAAAAAGTATTGAGCTAATTAACAGGAGACTATAACAGAAGACCGTTAATTCTTTCTGAAAGAAATGAAAATACATCAAAGAAGTGAGAAAATAAATTGTTGTTTTAATTTCTTTTTTTTTTTTTGTCAAATCATTTTCATATATTGTGAAGTTAATCATTTTGTGTTTACTTACAGTCTTGCCGAGGTTTTTACCATTGCGTTGATAATACCTCCTACAATAAATGACATCACAAGTGTCCTTTACATAGGTATCAGGGCAAGGTATGTGTGAGTTTTTTTGTAATGTTTGCCAAATTAAATGCGTCCAAAGTGCGTGATTTAACAACTATACGAGTTAACATACTGCGTAGGCAAGTTTTCGATATTTCTTTTTTTAACACCCCTAATGACAATAACATAATGCGCTGAAAAAGGAACAATATCTATAGATAAAACTTATGGCATTACCTGGATGCACTTGTTTTGTTTTTCAGTTATACATTTAAGACAGATGTAAATGGTAACTGCACTGTTCTTCTGTATAATGAAGGGGAGACTTCGAAGAACTTTCAGCTCTCAAATGATGTAACGTTGCTTACAATGCAATATTTCTTACCTTTATAGATTTCATTTAATTTCATTCGTGCATAGCTGATATTTCTCTCACCTTACATAGTTTTATTTATTATGCCACCGCCATACAATGGCTGGGGCATATAATGTTACCCCGTTCCGTCATATCACCCTTCCATCCTCTCGTCCTTTCGTTATCATCAGTTTCCGTTCATTATCTAGGTAACGGTTGCATACATTCAAATTTAAGGTATTGATATATCATAGTTAAATACAGGTCATGTTCGAATTTAGTCATGGTCCGATGATTTATGCTCCTTGATGAATTTGTCAGTTTCCGATTATTATCTCCCCAACGGTAGTATAATTTCAACTGAAATTTGACGTATGGATATGTCAACAAAACGCGAAAAGTTCGAATTTGGTCATTGGTCGGTGATTTTTGGCACCTTTCACTTTAAGAAAATAAGAAATTTTCAGTTTCCGTTCTCCCATCACTTGCACACATTCAACTCAAATTTGACATATGAATACTTCAAAGGACCCTGAGCAGGTCAAATTCAAATTCGGTCATGGTTTGATGGTTTTTGTCGCAGAGTTATGCCCCTTTAACTTAAAAAAAGTAGTTTCCGTTCATTATCTCCCAAACAGTTATGCACATTCAACTCAAATTAAAGATATGGATATGCCATATAAATATGCAGGTCAACTTCGAATTTTGGTCATGGTCAATTGAATATTTTTGCTGAGTAATACCTCTTTAACTTTGAAAAATAGGAAATTTTGCAGTTTCTGTTAATTATCTCCCTAATAGTTGTACACTATTCAACTCAGATTCAATATATGGATGTGTCACAGGAATACTCTAGTCAAATTCGGTTTTGGTAATAGCTTGATGATTACAAAAATTTCCCTCTTGAACTTTGAAAAAAAGAAGATTTGTTTTGTTTCCTTTCATTATCTCTCAAACAGTGATACACTTTCAACTCTATTTGACATATAGATACATCTTCTGAATAAGCAGGCCAAGTTTGAATGTGTTAATAGTTCAATTATTTTGAACAAAGTTATTTCAGTTTCAATTTTCAGTTTCCGCACTCTTACTTTTGTGGCAATGTATGTAATCATTATCTCGGCTAAAATTTGCAATATGCAATTTGCAAAAGGTAAACACTGAATATTTGTATGGCCTTGAATTTTGTATAAAAATGGTTAGTGTTAATATTGAATAGTTGAAGGGCTTTGAACTTAGAATGAAAAAAAAATGTTTTTGTATATTGATAAGGAACTAAATATTATTATATCATTTGAAATTTTGGCTAATTGCGGGGGCATTCGTGGCGTGACGACACATTTTAGTTTTAAATACTTCAGTAAGAAACGTTGACTTCTAAGCCTTAAGAACTGCATGAATATTTATAGGAGCAACGAGCCTCCAAAATAGTACTTAGGAATTAAAGGCCCATTATGCCTCAGAAATGCTACTATTTTTCAAAAGATTTAAAAGATTTCTAATTTTCTTTTAACTTTATAGTATCAAAAAAAACAACATTATCATTAGTCAATTACCAGATCCACATATTTTACCCGTTATTTTTCGGCAATAAGTACAGTTATAGTGAATAAGTATTTGCATGAAAGTTAAAATACTACTTTGTTATTTGTTATTATGACAAATTATTTCACATTCTTAAGGAAACAAGCATCTGTCATTCTTTACAACCATTATTTAAACTATGACATTCATGTTTGCCCCTTTTAAAGAAGTAAAGATGTATTTGTTTATGAGGCGTAATGTGCCTTTTAGTAACTCTGGATCATTATTAGAGTTAATATATAACTATTTGATCATCATATTTCATTTCAGAATTATCACACATGATTTTTATTTATGATTCATTCTATCAATATTAGTATATAATTAAGACAATAGCAAAAGAAAGATTTCTTTTTCTTATCCTCAGATAAAAGGTTCAGCAGAATTTATTATCAATATGTCTAAGCTTATCAGCGACTTAGACATAAACTTAAACATAAAAGTCAGAGCTATGGTTACCGATAATGCTACAGCACTAACAATGGTAGCCGAACGCAGATTGAATATTGCTTCGAATATACTACAGCCCATAACTATAACAAACATTGCTGCTTATAAGAATAGCTATATACCTGGAATGACTTATCGTACAAAGGTAATAACCGATCTTATAACGTTTTCAATACATTGACGATATATGACAGCACAAATCAGTTATTATATAGATAAGAATTTAAAAAAGTACTATCAGTTATATTCTTACATTAATACTATTGTCAAATAACTTTTTTTCAGAACTAGTAACATTCATAAATTACTGCTATTTAAATGCATGTCGTTATGTAAATAACTCTCCGTTTATTTTTCAGATCTTTGTTGGAAGAAATGGTAAATCATTAGGAAGAAGCGGCAAGCTCTTAGTTACACCAACGGTTACTACGGCAATATTGGGGACTTGTTACTCTAATCACTACTTCTCCTACCCATGGCTGAATGTAAACACTCAAGTCAAAAGATCTTTTACAATCAATTTTGACGAGTCTGGATATGCTGACTTTGAATATTTTGATAGCACTCAAAATGTAGAGGAAATTTCATTCGATGTAAATATATCACATGATGTTCTTCACAGTTTTCTTATATAGTCAGATAATTGGTAATACCAATATGTTTGAAAAATGGCTGTCTTGAATCGAGCATGTTTATCAATTATAGTGGTTTATACTTGTAATTGAATATGCCACGTACCACTGGCGTATTCAGAATTTCGCATTTACAGGGAAATGAAAACAACAACATAAAATTCGTTCCGACCTATTTTCCCTTACCGCTGTGGGTCAAATCTCACCGGGGGATTAATCAACCAGGGTTTAAATCAGGGAGGAACTTATCCCCTTTTGGGGAATTGAATTTAAATGTTAGTAATAGATACCTAATTTAAAACATCTTCTAAACGAAAGTTCCCCTACGCCTGTTTTTCGAGCTTTATAAATGATGGGAAATCATAACAAGTCCAAAAAACAAAAATTGTGTAGTTTTAATTTTGCCGTATTGAAAGACATTCAATATTTTCTTTGAACTTTCAAAGTTGAATGATTAAGTAGTAAAATCATGAAATGTACAAGTAGATGAAAGGTTACGCAATTCGTTCTTCAGACCTTCACAAATCGATGATTGCAAATACGTATGTAAAAAAGATATACTTATTTTGAAAAAAAACGCTATTTTAAGTATAGTTGAAAATATGTTAGCAAACCATCATTGTTTTCAGATTACATTACAAGATGCAAGAAGTGTTCAGCTGACTGATTTTTCCAGTTCATTTGACATTTATCCTCTTTTGGACAATAAACCTATTCTTCGGATGAATGTTAACAAGCTCAGAGCAAAGGTGACGTTCAATATAATGTAAATGACTATTTTCTTATCAGGTTGAATTTAAAATCATGTTTGTCTTGTGAATTTCCGAACAAGCAACTTACATGTTTTCATCTTTATTTGTTTGTAGTAAAAATGGTATTTGTACGTATTGTTTAATTGGTTTATATTCAAGGTGGGGGAAAGAATTGCTATAGACATAACTGCAACGAGAACACTAAACGGAGCGTTGACATTTGAGGTAAGATGTCAATCCAGTTTTAGAAAAAAAATATTTCGATAAAGATTGGGACGCTTAAAAAATCTTTACACGATAACTATAAGGCAGTCAATAAATTACATCAAGATTCTTTTAATCATTATTTAATCAAATGTTGCAGAAATTATAAAACACATATTACTTTTTTATGGTTGAAGTTAATTTTTTGAAAATGCATCACTGCAGGTGTATGCAAGGGGCATCCATATTGTATCAGAACGGGTAGCCATAAACTCTGCTTCAACAAAGACACATTCTATGCCAGTAACGAAGGATATGATTCCAAGTGCGTTTATAATAGTAAATCACTTGACACAAACTGGTAACCTGATCGCCGACTATGTATACATACAGGTTGAAGGAAATCCATTCAAAAATGAGGTACTCGTCTGTATTATATGTATCGTTTTTCCGTTAATAATTTAGTATTATATGTTCTTGTATTGAATCTATTTTATTTCAACATTATCTTACTGATTATACTGTGAAACCGGTAAACGTATAATAAAATTACATAAATTAAGCATAGGTTTGTAATTCTAATGCCAAATTTTTTAATTTGTCTTATTATATATACGTTGGTTGTCCCAATTTTCTGTGACAAGATTGTTTAAAAGTTAAGTAAAATAGGTACGCATCTGATATTTTAATATGTTATAAACCAATGTAATTGAAACATTTTCACAAATTTACATAGAAAAATATCAACAAACAACAAACATATGCCGTAAATACCATGGCAACTATTTGAATCGCGGCGCACGTAAAACGTCAAAGACGGCGTTAAATCTTCATAAGGCGCCTATCTCAAATACTCTCAATCGCTTTCAACGCAATGATGGTGCAGCTTTACCCATAAATCGTCATTTACAAGCTAAAATCATTTTTTGTTAATGTTTGTAGAATGTTTGGATGGCTAATTTTTGTTATACGAGAACTTCCGGTGTCGCGTAATAACCACACGGGCGTAATATTACCACGGTTTGTACATGTTTTTTTTAAAACTTGCCTGCGACTTTGTTTAATATCAAAGCGCTTTGATAATTGGTATTAATCTTCAGCATAGAACTATTATTTCAATGTCAGGGCATGTATTTGAATATTTTTCTTCAGAATATATTCGTGAAATTGAGCTAAATTGCCAAATTTTGCATCTTTCATAGGGCATTTTAAAAAAACCTGCAAAGTTCTAAAAGTATTACATTCATGAAAATTAATGCTTTTTAAACTTGCCAGGGGTAATAAACTTTGTTTTTGTCCATAGTTTTATTTCTAAATGGGTTAGAACTAATCTTAAGCTGTAGTTGGAAATGGCCAATTTTTCGAAAACTAGGTCAAATTACCCGAAAATTTTGCCCCAAAGGGTACTACAAATGTAGAACTTGTCATTCATAACCAAACACATTTATTCTAAGAAATAAAGGTTCAATGACTTGTCCTATATTCTAATATTCACATTTCAATGATTGGTTGTAATTAACTTTGCCGTAAATATAAATAAAAGATTTAAAGCGGCCGTTTTTCAAAATGGCGGACAAATCCTGTTGAAATGTGATCTATGTAATTTCTTTTAACTAATTAAGTACGTATGCGTCATTAGATTACATTAACTTTGATATCAAAATGTTAAAAAAGTTTTCTCAACTCAACAGATCATTTCGACAAAAATGACAATTTAAATTAACAATAAAACTCCACTTTTGCATTTAAGTGCTGCCATGTTTTGCCAATTGATGGTGTCTGGTTACTGCTATTTCGTTATTTTGTTTGGTTGTGTGTCACAGGGTGAGAAAAATGTGCAGCCTGACCAGGACTCGAACCTGGGACTTTCGGAATACTGTATTGCGCCTCGACTGACAGCTATTCGGCCGCTCTCACACCTTCTCCATTAATAAGTGAACACTTCTGAACCGTGACACTCCCCTGCTATATTGAAATCCATCCTTGAATTTCACAGAGTTACAGAACATTGTAATTTTAACTCTGAATTATATCCAGTCACAGTTCCCCGTTGGGCATCAAATGTGCAGCCTGGCTGGGACGCGAACTCTCAACCCCTCAGAATACCGTACCGCAGCTCTACCAACTGAACTATCTGGCCGCTTACACTATATCTCCCCTAAAATGTTAACAACTCTGAGCCGTGACATGTGGTTGTTACAAGTAGCAAAAACATGAAAGAGTGTCAAAATGAGAAACCTTTTTTTTATTTTGTCGCACTTTTTACCTTTTGTCAGTATTTTGTGAATTGGCCCTTCAACCGCGACAACACAAATAAAAACAAGAGCACCGCTAGGCGGAGCATTATATGCCCGAAAGTACTTTTTCTTTTAGCAAGGATGAAGCATTTGTAAGACATGGGAATTAAATACAGTATTACCTCCTTCAAAAAGCAATCCTCCTTTATAGCTGAAGAACATTCATGTATATATACAGTTGCTGTTTTCAAAGCACCACCATCAAGTTGTTATCTTGTAAGTAAAAATGCTATAACGGATGGACGAAAAGACGTCAGGGGTATAAAGCTGTTAATCCTATAAAATTTTACAGCTGTAGGTTGATTTATACTCGAGTTATTGAGCGAAAACTGTTTCCAGTTTAAAGGTAACCTTGATATTTGACCTTGTGACCCCAAAATCAATAGGGGTCTTCTACCCAATTATGACAATCATCCTATGAAGTTTGAATACTGTGGGCCAAATTAAACTTAAGTTATGCTCCGGAAACTATTTTCAGTATTAAGCTAATAGTGACTTTGACCTTGTGACCCCAAAATCAAAAGGGGTTTTCTACCCAATATGGGCAATCATCCTATGAAGTTTGAATACTGTGGGCCAAATGGAACTTAAGCTATGCTCCGGAAACCATTTTCAGTATTAAGCTAATAGTGACCTTTGACCTTGTGACCCCAAAATCAATACGGGTCTTCTACCCAATATGGACAATCATCCTATGAATTTTGAATACTGTGGGCCAAATGGAACTTAAGTTATGCCCCGGAAACCATTTTCAGTATTAAGCCAATAGTGACCTTGACCTTTATTCTTATGACCCCAAAATCAATAGGGGTATTCTACCCAATATGGACAATCATCCTATGAATTTTGAATACTGTGGGCCAAATGGAACTTAAGTTATGCTCCGGAAACCATTTTCAGTATTCAGCCAATAGTGACCTTGATCTTTAACCTTGTGACCTCAAAATCAATTGGAGTCTTCTACCCAATATGGACAATCATCCTATGAAGATTGAATACTGTGGGTCAAATGGAACTTAAGTTATACTCCGGAAACCATTTTCAGTATTTTGCTAAAAGTGACCTTGACCTTTGACCTTGTGACCCTTAAATCAATAAGGGTCTTCTACCCAATATGGGCAATCATCCTATGAAGTTTGAATACTGTGGGCTAAATGGAATTTAAGTTATGCTCCAGAAACCAAATTGCTAACGGACGTACGGACGGACAGCCGGACAGACGGACGTTCCAACATTTTGGGTGTAGGGGCTATTTTCTTTGTTATTTTCTTTGTTTTCTTAAGGGCTACTAGCCCATAAACCCTTTGATCACGGAATGAACCGATTGTTCTCTTTACTATTTATAGCCCCTAAACCCAATTTTTTTTCATTCGACAACAAAAAATTCATTTTGTTGCCACATATTAGGGTACAACCGCCTTAAATTTGGCATTTTATCATACTGTCACCTGTTTTATTAAAAAATAATATCGCAGTCAAGCGGGTGTACAGTAAATAATGACAAAAAAGATGGAAATTAAAGTAAAGAAAATAACAAAACAAAATAAATATTGTGCAGCTTGATCGGGACACGAACCTAGGACCCTCGGAATACCATACCGTGGCTCTAGATCTACCGACTGAGCTATACGGCCTCTTATACATGTTCTCCCCTAAATAGTTAAGTTCTAAAGCGTGATATACTTTTCTGCTATATTGAAAATCCATTCTCAAATTTCACAGGTTACAAAGCAATGTGAAATTAACTCTGAGCTATATTCAGTCACAGCCCAAAGTTGGGCTCCCAATGTCACAGGGTGAGAAGAATGTGCAGCTGGACCGGGACTCGAACCCTGGACCCTCAGAATATGTCCGTACCACATCTCCTACCGACTAAGATATCCAAGGGCTAATACACATTTCCCCGCCTGAACCGCGACACATAAATATAAAATTACATCCGGGACCTGCCTTTTTAAAAAAAAAAGTTAATAAAAGGTAAAGGGGAAAGGTCTTATTTATTATAGTATCACCCCTACTGAAAGGGCCATCCATTTCTGACTTATGTCAGGCACCTTTTGCTTGCATACCATGTACCTCCAAACTCAATCCTACCTCTATGTCAGGCACCAGGTGGATAGAAACCGGTAACCATTCATTTTAACTACCTCGTGGCTCACGAAGCGGCCAATTCGGAACGAGTCCCATTAGAAATATTCATCTTTCAATTAACGCTCCCCGCGGGTCTAGAACCGCCTTAACCACTAGGTCAATGGTACTAAATACATTTACACACTGAAATATGTATTATACCCCTTGTTGAAATTTTAAAAAACCCTCTGTTGTAAAATCCTGGATCAACTTCATTCTGTTAACATTTAATTTCTATAATTCAATAGTTGTTTTCTATATATACAGGAACATAAGGTGTTTTCATAGTGACTAGACAAATATCTCTTATACAAGTTAATCAATTTGTATAATTATATGCAACAAGATTAAAAATGTTTCATGCATATAAAAAGTTAATAATTTAAGTCCAATTTGAAAAATTACAAGACTCTTATGTCCTACAGATTGCTAATTTTGCAACAGGGTGTGAAATATATGCAGCCTGACCAGGACTCAAACCTTATTACAGCTCTACCGACTGAGCTATTAAGCAGCTATCACATCCAGTCTCAAATTTCTTAGGGTAATACAGAGCTATGTGAATTGAACTCTGAGCTATATGCAGTCAAGGCAACACATTGGGCGCCAATTAATATAAACAGGGTGAGAAAAATGTGCAGCCAGACCGGGATTTGAACCCGGGACCCTCAGAGTACCATACCGTGGCTCGACGGCGACTTACACATTCTCTCCCCTAAACAGTAAACAGCTATGAACCATGACATAAAGCTATTAATCCAATCCATCTGATCATAATCCAATTAAATACAAATACTATGTATTTAAATTTTTTAAGAAAATGTCTGTTATCAATGAGTAAATGTAAATTAAGTTAATGGAAATCTTATCCAAGGGAGGTGATCTGTTGTTGAGTTGTTTTTACATCTTGATCTTGTGATCCAAGGATCATGAGATACTAAGATCCCTTCTTCACCATGATAAAATTTTCATGCTATCTCACTCTTACACTTTATCTAGATCTTTTCTCTTATAATAATGATTTAAGTGCCAAATATTGTGTTTTACTCTATTATCATATACCAAAATATTTTTCCAGGAAGTTGTGACTGTTATAAAAATATATATTTAACTAAGCAAACTCAGATTTTTTACAAATAAAAGTCATTTAAATTAATAATGTCTTATGAAGAAACATAATAACACTAGAATCAAACAAGAGCCACCGCCGGGCGAGGGCAACGCTCGACTTTTTACTTTTTCTTAAAGAAAACAAAGATATGTTTGAACAAATCTTAACGTTTCTAATAAATTAATATATATATATTGAAAATTTCTAATAGCCTTATTGTAGGGCCAGCTATTTAGTGACATGGTTTATGTGTTCACTGTCATTTGAGAGACCAGTGTTGAATCCCGGCTTGGACCTAAAAGATTTTTCTTATATTTTATTAGTTCTAAAAGTGTACTTGCTAACCTTAGAAACTGAAATAAATAGGGTTAAGCAAAAAATCTGTGCATTATTATTACGGCTGCCAAACATGTCAAATTAAGAAAGAAACAAAGTTACAGGCTTGTAAATACTTAAAAGACGTATTTAATATTTCCAATAACTTTATTGTTAGCTGGTTATTTAGCATTATTGTTTGTGACACCAAGAGACTGTTTTTCAATTCAGTTTGAACATCAATAAATGTTTCACTATATCATACCAAAAGCATCATTTAAGATTTCGTGCAGAACATTTGGCTCTATTTCCTCTTAAAACACCTCAGTTGCAGAAGGGTTTGATGTGACTGGAAAAATAAAATTATATAAAAAGTATGTGTATAAATTAAAACAAGTGCCACTGTATTAGATTTCATTTAATTACTTTATGAAGTAAACATCACGAAAGAAAACGAGGTCATACGGAAAGTACCTAAGATGCACAATGCGTTGTTTACTTATTTTGCTGGCCACATTGCAATATTTCAACGTTTTAGAAATAGATTCACATGAATAGACTCAACAAATGATTTATACGAATGCATATATTAAAAACATAAAAAACGTTAACCTAACGGAAAAGAAATTATTGATAAAATACTTTAATATCTACCTGGTTGGCTCAATCGCTCCGGCGTCTGTGGGCGGAACAGTTGATGACGAAAAGCCCTCAACACCTCTCCAGTATGTATTGATTTGATAACATATTGGGGACAAGGTCATTCATTAATTTTGTCGATGATACAAAACTTCTCTGCCTCCGATCGCGCGGCGAAATTACATGTTTCGCCAACTTTTGGCAAGTAGGTCAAATCGGCGGCCAATTTTTGTTTTTGTTTACAGGGCCCTGTATAATTGTTTGTGCATAGGTAAAACCGGGCTATACCAAGTGCGCGTGCCCCTGTTAACACACGGTTTTTATCCCGTTAACACATGGGCAAAAAAGGGAAAAATAGCCGATTTTATGCTATAATTTTAAATAATAAACTTAACTGTTATATGTGTGAATTGTTATCTATTGACGTTAAAAATGAACCGTCTATAAAATTTGTCACGAACTTTTGGGACAACCCTCGTATAATAAGACTGTTAACATTATCTTTATTATGAATTATGAATAAAGTAGTAAAAGTGCTAGACAAAGAACTTGCTTTTAAAGGTAGAAATATCATTCGATGTCACGAAACAACAGCCAGGAGAGACGGTAAACATGCACGCATCCGCCGATCCACACTCAACAATTTATGTCTTAGCCGAGGATCTCAGGAACCGTGTGTTTGGTGTTGACAACGACATATTTTGGACAGACGTTTGTTAATAATATCATTTTATCATGATTATAAAAAGAATTTTATTAATATTTCAAAATGTAATCTGATACGACGAATTAATCTGACAATCAACTGTTTTTGTTTATGAATAACGGATATTGAACTACCTATTTTTGCCTTTCGAATTGTCATATATTACATTACATAAACGTGTCACCATATTGTAGGTTGTACGAGAGATTGTGGATGCGAGTCCTAGTATAAGGCAAAATATTAGAAATTATAAAAACAGAAACAAGGTACTGCATAATGATTGTAACCTCAATGATGAAAATGTACATTTATTAGTCGGCACTGCTTTTACTTATAGTTTGTTATTAGTTAATTCATTATAATATCGTGCCGAACAGCATAATTGTTAAGCTTTATTATATACGTGTTTATGTCATTTACTTTGAATTGTTCTTTTTTAATTTTTAATAGTAATATTTCACATAAACATGATAAGACGTGTTTATAACTAATTTACCTTTGAGTAACCGTGTTTCTTCTAAAATGTTTATCAACATTATTTCCAGCGTGCAGACCAAGAAAGACAGTTGGCTAAACGATCACATGGGCATCTTGGAGATTTAGACGACACATTTATTGTATTTATTATCATATCTCTTCGAGTATTATACACAATAAAAACACGTGCTTTCCATGGTTATAAATGATTTATCTTAAGTATAATACCAAATAAAATTAATTTTTTATCATTTCTTCCGATATTCTGAATTTTCAAGATTTAACGATTAGGTCTGTTCCATGAAAGATTTGACAAACATTTACTTAAACCTGTGCCCGGAATCTTCTGTTTTTATGAAAGGTTCTACCAATATCAGGACTTAATGGTTATGTTATGATTTCTTTTTTTGCATTTGACTTATATTGAAGCATTGAACTAATTCTATGCAAGGTAATGACTTTTAAATAATCAAATTATATTGTTTCTCTTGCACAGGTCGTTACAATGTAAAAGTGTTTTATTTTGCAAATAACATAACTTAGGCAGACTGTTTTATTTCTTTTAAGGAAAGTGGATTGATAGTTCTTTCTGATGCGACTATTTCCGAGCAAAAGCTAGATTTACTTACTTCAAAAGGGTATACAGAAGTGTGTGGTGAACACGACACAAGTAAGAAATTTGATTTTCATCGTATTATGTCATTCAAACGTTATCTTTGCCACAGTGGATAAACGATATCAGGTGGTACAAGCTTAAACAATTGATTGTTTAAAATGTTTTTCGGTAACAAAATCATCAGTTGATCGATCACTGTACTTTCTTACAAGCCTATATATTTTAACTTTAACCATTTTTGCGAAAAATCGCTCAGATTGAATCTTAGTTGGAATAATGACATAATACAAAGAAACGAGCTTGCATTCTTTTGTTCGATTTGTTATACAATCGCAATTTATATAGACAAGCATCCATATTTTCCTGATTCAACTTCAGGATTGGCTTCAACCGCAGGCTGTTTACTCTGTTCAAACCGTAAGTACAAATAATTCAAGAATGTATGCTTAAAAGATGTCTAGGTCTCTATTATACATTTAACCCTTTAATTTTAAATTATTGAACCAAACAAATAATCTATTTATATGATTATTTAATAACGTTTTATATATGTATATTTCTTTTGTTTTTGCAACACTAAAATAAAGTGTATAATTCCGTTTATCGTACTTTAAATTTATTACAGTAAATCAGTATACTTTCTTCGATTAAACAAACTCGTTTTTCAATTGATATTGATTTAATAATCGACATTTTTGATTAATTTGCTTAGCTTCCTTTCCCTCTACGATCTTTATTTTTTGGTTTTTGGTTGTCAAGTTATCAACAAGTAAAAACATACAATATAAGGCTCGATTATATTCTATCTTTTGATTATTTTGTTATGCTTCTTTTCCCTTCTACGAACGTTCTTGCTTTTGGTCAAGTAAATGTCATACTTTATTCAAAGCTTCGGAGACACTTTTATATCTTTTCTATAGTTTTGAGTCTTATGTTTCTGTTTTACTACGGATATTTTATTATAATATCATATTTACTTTATCGTTTAATTAGCAGTTCTGCGCATTTCAAATGTTCAAAACTCTGGATTACCAAGTAATTATTAATAAGTTAACTTTTTTTTTAACAAAAATCCATCAGTATACTTCTAAAAGAATTGCATATTTTAGCAGGTACTATATACCATTTTTTTCTACTCCTTTTTAAAGCCAAGTACAAAAAAAAAATTGCCAAAAAATTCACCAGTATACTTATTTCTCATACAGTTGCATATTTTAGCAGATATTGTTTACAATAATCGATTTGTGGTCCATTTCATATATTGACAAACATGAGTAACTGTTATTTCACGATTGAAAACGATATAAAAAGTCCATGGAATGTAGGATTTAACTTGAAAAACTATTAACAAATAACAACTGAAAAATAGTTAAAAATGAATAATTTCCCATCTACATAAAAGTGTCCTTTTTCTATATAAATTTAAAACAAAATTCATAGTCGTAACGTAGCCCGATAAGCTAAAATCGACCGTCATTTACTTTGCAGGAGGTGGATCAAGATTACCAAAGATTTTACCGAAAGGTGAGCCAATAGCTTAATCAAGAAGATAAAGTGTTTTAATTCCAGAAAAACGTATATCGAGCTATAAGTTATATTATTTGCCTCTCTGTTTTGTTTTATCCCCTTAACCATTTGTCGAAATATTTTCCTTTCTTTGCTAAAGGACTATGCATCAAAAGAATTAAATATCTAAATTCAAGCTGATCATAAGTTGAACTTATCCATATGCTTTTGTCAGCTTCACATATAAATTTGTACCGTTTGCAATGCTGCTTTTTGAACAAAATTAATGTGCCATTGAACAAATGTGCCAACAAATTTCTTCAGCGTGTTGATAAACATTAAGTAAGTTAACTAAATATTTAACATCAGTCATTCAACTATCGTTTTATTATTTCTCTAGAATATTTTTAGCGTTGAAGTTACCTTTATAAAATAGCCAGACTTATTCATATATTTTAAAATTTGTCATGTTTTTTAAAAATGAATTATTTTTCTTTAAATGTTATAGAAAATAGCAAACAGGACCCTGGTAAGTGCCAATTTATTTCATATGATATCAGTTAACAATGTATTCGTGGACTAGAAAGGGAGTTGCGGCACCGACCTTGTTTTCGATTTATGCTTAAAATATTTTTGTTATCGTAGTCTTCTGAGATCATGCATAACTGAAATATATTAATTTTGCTTACTTCCAATCGACTTTATGTAACCCTAGCTTACGACTTTTATTTCATTTAATATATAAATGTTAATTTGGATTGAAATTCGACTTCACCCTTTTTGCTATTTGATAATTTATATATCCTACTATTAATGTGATAATTTAAATTAGAACAGGTGTAATAAAATGTAAACGAGACTGATTGTCTTTTTAGCTCTCAGGGTGAGCTTTTAGTATCGTTGGGTGTTCGTCATCCGTCTGTAGTTCATAAAAACTCTTGTGGTCATATCTTGGCCTCAGTTGTCACTAAACGTGATCAGAATGTATGTCCCAATAAACATCGAACACAAAAACCAAAAATAAAAAAAATTTAGTTAGCACTCTCTGGCTTTTGTTTCGGTTCAAATATTCCATGAAAAGTGCCAGAAAGATTATTATGATGATATAAAGATAACGCTTGATGATGATTCACCTGGGGTCACACAGTCCAAATATAAAAAACCTTCCTAACACTGTTACTTTTTTGGCCCAAATATTCTGTTAGTCAGGAGGATAGATTAGATGATTTCTAGCTCAGGTTTAAAAAGGGGTCAACTGGGGTAAAAAGTAAGTCACAAAGCCAAAATATAGAAATACATTTTAAACACTCTACAGTATACTGTTTCAGTCAAAACATACTTGAAATTGATCAGAAAACTTGATTAGAAAATTTTAAGGTCAAAGTTGAATATGGGTTACCCGGAGTCAAAAAGTAGATCACACAGCCTAGATATGGAAACAAAAATATAGAAAAGGAACTTTTCAGCCTAACTTTCACGGAAATTGGTTAGAAATGTTGTTCTAATGTTTACTAGCCGCAGTGTGAATATGCATCATCTGTTGGATACATAATTAGGTCACATAGTCAAATTATGGACAAAAACTCGTTAACACTCTAGAGGTAAAAGGTTCACCCTAACTATCCTGGCAATTGGTCAGAATATTTGGTTAAATGGTCTGTAGCCAAAGTTTGAATAATGGTTATTTTGGGGTAAATAACTAGGCCACATACCCCGAATATAATAAGAAATCATTGTTAACACTCAAGGTGCTAAAAATTTGTCAGCATTTCTTTAAAATTTTAAATGAATGCTAGATCAGGTTTAAGCGGTCTTTAAGCGTCCTTTACAAGGTTGCAAAGCCTAAATATGATAACTTTGTTCATTCTCAGGAGGTTACAGATGTGAATAAGTGTCAGCTGGGTGCAATAACTAGGTCACAAAGCCGCATATATTGAAAAACCGTGTTAACACCCTGAAGGTTACAGTCAGCCTAAACATTCTAGATATTGTTCAGAGAGTGTGCTTGGATAATTTCTAGATCAGGGTCGTGTATTGGTCATCTGGGATCAATTACTAGGTCACAAAGCCCAGATATTGAAAACTCTTGTTAACACTACAGGCTACTGTTTCAGTTCAAATGTCCTTTGAATCGGTGAAAAATTTGTAAGAACGATTTTTTGGTCAAGTTGGAATATGAGTTACCCGGGGTCAAAAACTAGGTCAAACAGCCTAAATATGGAGAAATATAACACTTGTTAACACTCTAGAGATAACATGTTCAGCCTAAGTTTGAAATTGAGGTCACACAGTCAAAATATGGACATACCTTGTTATCACTCTAGAGGCCACTGTTCTGGTCAAAACTTCATAAAAAATCTTCAGAAAGGTTGTTTTAATGATTTCTAGGTCAGCTCTGAATATTGACCATCATGGGTTAAAAACAGCAACAACACAGCTCAAAAAATATTTTAATTATTTTCAACTAAAGATTGAACAAAAGTTACCTGGGGTCAGAAACCAAGTAAGCCAGACAAAATATTTAGAACACATTTGATCGCTCTAAAGGTTACATTAGCCAAAATATCCTGAAAATTTGTCAGAAAAGTTAAACAGATATTTCTATCTCAAGACTGAGTGTGGATTTACTGTGCTCAAAAGCTCGGTCAGACAGTCAAAACTGTAAAAAAAAAGCCTTTTTAACATTCTAAAGGTACCTTTTCGTTTCAAATACAATGAATAATTGTCAGAAATGTTGCGTTTATGATTTGTGGGTCAATTTCGAATATGGATCATCTTGGGTGAAAACTAGGTCAGAAATACCAAATAAGGAGAGAAATCTAGATAACACTAGCAATATTTCCAGACAGATCCTGTAAATTGGTCGAAAAACTGTTTTCTTCATTTCTAGTGCAACTTAAAAAAAGTCACCTGGGATCAGAAACTAGGCCACAGATTCTAAATATCTTAAAATGTATTATTTTTAACTCAAATATAAAAGAACTTTGTCGGCAGGATTGTAAAATGATTTCTGGCTCAAGTTTGAATATGTAAAAACAGCCCCAAAAAACATTGTTTTACATCTGTACTATTAAAGATGCAGACATAAACGTTATGATATCAGTTTAAGACATTTTATATTCTTTTCATTCATACATTACAATAGTACTCGATCCTTTGCCATTAAGAGCCTTAATCAGGTGAGCGATATCAGGCTCAAAATGACCCTCTTGTTTATTTGTTTTTCGTAGGATTGTCCCTTGAAGAAATTGTGAGAAGTAAGTTTCCTGATACCTGGCTATGGGACGAATATGATATTGGGTATGATGATTAATATTAAAACTCATGACAGAAGTCTGAAAATATAAGTTTTTAGAATGCCGCCCCTCCAAAAATGAAATACTAATACATGTGTGTTTGTTTGTTTCATTTTAAGCCATTTCCCAACAGTATTTCAGTCATATAGGCGGGTAGTTTCCTAACCATCGTGTCTTGAGAGTAACACCAGTACTAGACTACCTTCCTCCGTGCTAAACTACCAAAGCATTTCCCGGGGATCGAACCCACGCAAGAGAGGTAACTGGATTAGAGGTCATCGACTCTAACCCCTCGACCAAGGGGGAAAAGTCATAATAAAAACAAAACATAAAAATGCATCCCATGCATGCTTTACATACATACGAAACGCAGGAAAACACGATGCACGCACACAAAACTTTTAAAAAAAACCCCCCCAATTTATTTTTGGGGCATCCAAGACAGTTGGGGGAAAAAGGAAAAGGGGAAATTTAAATTTAAAAAACCATAAATACTTTGACGGGTTTTTTTTTAAAATTTGAAATTTTTCCTTTAAACCGGGTTCCATAAAATGACCCTTTGAAAACTTTTTACATTTTTTGCCGTTTGGGACTTTTTTTTAAGGGATTAGGGTTTTTAAAACTTTTTTCAAATTTAAAGGCATGAACGGAAAAAATTGATTTTCCCTCTTTAAAAAATTCCCAAAATTAAAATGACGACATGGTGATTCGGTTTTTGGGCCGGGGTTAATTTTAAAAAACCATTTTTTGGGAAATTGCCGAAAAAAAAACCAAAGGTACGTTTTGTGCCATGTTAAAAAAAACATTAATTTCATTTGGATATGTTTGTTTTTGCAAAACTTTATTTACTTTCGATTAAGACAAGCTAAATAAATAATATGTTCATCGTAAGTATATGTGCGTGCGTGTGTGTACGTGTGTGCTTGTCTGTGTGTAAATATGCTACTTTTTTCATTTTGATAGTTAACACATGTATTTGTAGATATACAAACTGTTTTGTTTTGAGCATGAGGTGCAATAACAATATATCACCATACAAACGCATCTGTCGGTAGTAGTCAGTTATCTACAGCTTTGCTTATAACAATGTCACGTAGAATTTTGGTTAGGCCGTTACTTTGTATCCTATCTAGCAGTTTCAATGGTTCGAAAATTCTGAAACGGGAGATCCTTTAACAACAACACATAAATGGAAATCGTTTTTAATATTAATGAGAGATACTAAAAAGTGAGAAACAAACTTTCTATTTTCCTCGGTTTAAAGAAATTAACGGGATCCCCCAAAAAGCTAAAAGTAAACGGGGGAAAAAATGAAACCCCTATATTTCAGAAATTTCAGGGAATCACGGGAAAAGAATAATCAAAGGGCAAAAACATTTTTTTTTAGGGAAAATAAAATTTTTGGGGGGAGTATGGCATAAAGCCCTCCAAACCCCGGGAGCTTTGATAGCTACCCCTTAAAAAAATAGTTATACCAAAGCAAGAATATTCAATCAAATTAATGGGTTAATTTAAACCTTAAATATGAAATTTCATCGTTGAAATTTTTCATTTTTTCGGGGTTTCAAAAAGAAACAAAACATTCATTTCTAAAAATTTACTTTTTTTTGTTTCCCCTTTTTAAAAAAATCCGTGAAATGTAAATTAAAACGTAAAAAATTATAGTTTTGGCAGATACATATTTTTGCCATAAGCGAATAATATTGTTGTCAATTTGATATTGTTTGGCAAACCTGAAGCTTATAGTTCACATTGGCAAACGATGACAGTTATCAGTGGAATTTAATGATTTGATTTGAAGATACACTAAAATCTTCAGATAACAGTGCAGAAAAAGGTTTTGCTAACAATGGATCTTCCGTCGTCAATTGTTCATGGCGAAGAGTTTCTCCTCCAGATATCAGTAAA